TATTCATCCATTTAAGTCACAATATATATCACTGCAATATACATGTTAGAATTAATGAAATCATATTTACAACCAAAGACTTTGTAGACTAAAATCTTGGATGTGATTACAATTTATGGACGACTTATGAACAGGGTTAAAGTGACTTGGACAATATTCATCTAATTACTATGGTCAGAAGAAGTTTCTCAATTAGTATGGATAATTAAGTTTAAGATTAGCAGTTAGTAGTTGGGGTTAAGAATTACAATTTGGGTTTTCGTTATCAAATGACATCATTTACTATGCCGAAATACTATTAGCCATATGGATAAGTGAATTTCTTGTCGAAATCCTAGATTTACCACTTTAAATATCGTTGGTTCATTTATAGTTTCGCCAAATCTTAATGTTCATATTTTGTGTATAAGTAGGTTATTCTATTTCATGAAAACTATTCATTTGGCTAGTAATCTAGCTATTGATTAGAAATCACTCAGGAGCCTGAACCAATAATTTATTCTTACAAACATCTATCAGTCGACCACATTTTGCGTTCATCTATCGATTAGGATTCTATTCATTTATTTTAACAATTAAATATTTCGTCAAATCAAACCACAGAGAACTACCTCAGTAACGCAAACCGCATTCATTTACCAAGATTTCTGAATAATAATGTATAGCTAATATAAATGATTTTGTAGTGAAAGAAACGTTTTTCTCTTAATTCTCTTTAATTTTATTCAATGTAAACCATTGATTGTTTTGACTTATGAAGTCTTATTTGTTTAGAAATAATATAGATCATGATGCTTATTCATAAATCATGAAATAAACTCGTATTTATAGACTATCTGATCTCATTAGAAATAATTTTGGATTAAGGTTTATTACATTTAATCTTTTAAGACATAATCTCTCATTATTCAAATGAAGATCTTAGGTTTCTTACTATTAGTGATTGTGAAAACGAAGTGATATGAAACCATCAAACTGTTGAACAATTTTAAATAGTAGCATGCATATATACTTCAAAAATATTATTAATAACTTTCCAATTATGATATATTTTCATGACAATAATCTGATTTTACGGTGTTCCATAAATGATATGTATACAGGGAAATTTCCCATCCAAAGGTTTTTGAAATCATGGATTAACCCAAGTTAAGCATCTACTGAAAGTCAATAAGCACATGAAAACTATTTTGTCCCAGTATGGAAATTATTGATGTTGGACATTCACCACCCCACCAGTGACTCAACTCAGCATTTTTAATCTCACTGCGAACGTTTAGTCTTTGTATAACTAAGCATGCAGTTGTCTACATGTCTAACTTCGATCAATTCGCGATATTGCCCAATCATCTTCTATTGTCTTCAGAGGGTAAATGTTTTAGTTTCGATATGTTTAAATTTCACAAGGACGGAATAAATATTCAGTGTTTCCTCGTTTTCAGTGGATTTAAAAGTTAGAGAACTTCAAAGATAATTAGTTTTGATATTAAAACAAACTGTCCATATTTTCATAATATAGTGTCCTGAAGACACCATGCTTTCTGCATTGTGAAATATTAATAAAGTGACAGATAATGCCGATTCATTGAACTTGTGTAACACATAAAATACTGTGGGATTACAGCATCACTCGCATCACAAACCACTGAAACTTATAAATCTTTGGGTAGCTTCGTAATCTTGAAATATCCCTTCGTGTTCATGTAAACTACGCTTGGTTTCACTCAATCAGTCAATAGGTTTGTTATGTGTTGTTTTCATTCAGTTTCACCCAAGTTCTAGCTTGAAAGACATTAAAAGTAATCAGTTATCACTGGAACTTATCCAACTATGATTTTATTATCAGTAAAAACTGTAATATATCAACTGGCTAATATTAAGCACCTAGTGAAGAGAAATAATATTGTTTAGCAACGGTTATTTGACAATTATCATTAGTAAACGTCTGTTTATAGGACTAAACTAGGTTACTCTCATTCTGTCAAATAGTTTCGCATTAACAAATTACACATTAGTAAAAAAAATTCAGTGAGAAAGTAAGTTACTATGTTACTGCATAAACGGAGCAAACTTTTTTTCAATCAACTTTTTACAATTCAACAATCTTCAACTTTCTCTTATCTAAACTTTAAAATCAAATCTTGTATAAAAGAAAATAACATTATTTTGACAGTTATAAAGCTTTAGGGTCAACACATTTAGTTTAAATGTAATAAACTGAAATAGTTTGAGAAAATTGAATGAAACTGCAATGACTGATTCGAAATATTACTCTAATGTTTAAATAATGCTTTTAGTTTAATAAATCATGTTCATTAAATCAAATAGCACAAGTATTATTTAATACAATTCGTCTTTATATCAACCAACACTAGAAATAAGCAGAGATGGATAGTGGCTAGCAGTGGAATCCAGGACGCGCGTTTCGTCCTGTTTGGGACTCGTCAGCTGGATGTACCTGCATCTCAGAGTTGATGTTCACTCTGTTGCACAAGCAAGTGGCTATCAGGACTCAGTAGCTAAGTGGATAACGCGATGGCGTTTGAAGCGAACGGTACTGAGTTCGAGTCCCAGAGTGAACATCAACTCTGAGATGCGGGTACATCCAGCTGACGAGTCCCAAACAGGACGAAACGCGCGTCCTGGATTCCACTGCTAGCCACTATCCATCTCTGCTTATAATGCTTGTAAATTAAGGCAATATCGAGGCATACGCACAGTATGCACATATGTCAATAAGAGACTGATCAACTTCAGTCCTAAAACATCAATGGGAAGATTCAAATAAAACAATATCAAGTGAACAACACTAGAAATACACAATATGAATAGTTTGAAGTGTAGTACAGTAAACTTGAATTTAATTGTCAACTACATTTTTATAAGGAAGAATAAATGAAACTAATCAGTTGCAGTGAATTCTTATACACTGAAGAATTTCAAAGTATTTTGTTATTAAAATTATATTAAAAGCAAATTGAAATTTGAAATATTAGAAACTATTGAACGTAGTATTAAAAAATTGAAAATTACTTGATTGAACAACAAATGTTACATTTGTAGATTATAAGATTAATAACATCCTTGATAAGGAAAGGACAATTCAAATTTATGACCTGATTAAGAAGATCAATCTCATCAAAAACAATCTTCATTAATGTTAGGAAGCGATTAAGAGTGAAATTATGAATTAAAACATTACGATAATAGTATAGCGTAACAGTTAACGATATGCTAGCAATTTCTTTCATATAGTCATCTTTTATGATATTCATTTAAAATGATATTTGCCTACGATACTGTAGTTTACACTTGATGATCGACCATTTCAAAGAAAATCTTTATATAAAAGAGCTCGATTACCTCTTACAATGTACATGCTTTACAGTAATGTTTCGTCTTTTGGTACTGTATAACTCAATGAAACACGGTTCTCGAGGGTTAATCTCGATTCATTAAATTGTCAGTGCTAACTCGTCATTCGTTATCATACAAAACCAACTGTATATAAGCTATTCAAAACTCGTATATAATATATATGAGGAAATTTGATGACTATACAAAGGAAGGCGTTTGAATTAAAATATAAAACTTAGGAAAACAGATAAGTTAAAAATAAAACGCCAGTCAGCTACAAAGAAGGATCAGCCACATATATGCATCGGTGCAAGTTGCTATACCTCATAAGCACAACAAGATGAACACCAAATTCACAGTAGTTACTTCTATGTTAGTAATATACACAAAAAAAGACTTTGTATAAAAATATAGTACAGGAAGAAAGAATTGGCTCGTAGAAAGAAAGATATGAAGCGATTTCGATCTCTTAGTTTAAGGGAAGACAGAGAGTGCATACACCGACGCCAATGTGATCGATTCTGAGCCATGTCACCAAACGTCCTCAACTATTGGTTACGATAGTCAACCAAGTAGCCTGCATCTACCAACATAGCTCAAACTAGAAGTTAGTGACTTCAAGCACTGATGTCACGTTTTAGTTTGGCAGCTCCTAACTTTCTTCCAACTATCCCCAACACTGATTAGCATTGCGCGTCTTGGTAATCGGTGTTCAGGCATACGTAATACATGGCCCAAACATCTCAGTCGATGAAAATTCACAACCTCATCAACTGATTTAACATCATTCCTTGATACCCTGTGTCTAACCTCACTATTACTTACCCGGTGATCCCAGCAGATGCGAGCAGTATTTCTAGGACATCTGTGATCGAATGCTAATAAATTATGATTGTCTAATATTAATGCCCACGTTTCGCAGCCGTAAAGCAAAACAGAACGGACTGCTGCGTAGTATACACATCCTTTTATTGATAGACGGATATCTCACTTTCGTCATAGGTGACGTAGGTTGGTAAAAGCCAAACGAGCTTTTCGAATCCATGTAAAGATTTCGTCAGACACCAACCCATTAGGGCTGATCAGACTTCCAAGATAAGGGAAGTTGTCAACGCGTTCGACTACATTTATACAAAATGACCTATAAAATACAGGTGATTCAAAATATTCGAACGAAAAATAAATTTTCCAATTATATCGCTGTGAATCAGCAGTATCTTTCAAATGTTATTGAAGTTCATTATTTGATACAGAGAAGTCAACTTACACACATGTTTTAAAATTTACAATTGGACAGTTGTTCTTCTAAAAAGAAAGGGAATAATAACGATAAAATTTCATAAAACATTTATTCGTATTAAAGTAATCTTAATAGTATAAGGATCTTCAAAAGACATATAAAAGCATAAAGACAAGTTGTAAGTTAACTGGAGAACGGCATGTGTACTTTTATCACAAACCTATATATCCTATATATTCTTACTACTAAGGTCGTAATTTGTGTGATGAAGCTAATTTTAATACTTCATAAGGTTTATACAAATAATTCATACATAATCATAGAACAGTATACACAATGTTCAAAAGATAAAATCTCACACAAGTTGTTTATGTACGCAAACATAAAAAAATATGAAGAAATTTTATAAAAGTCCATCTAATTTAAGATTACGCCTTATGATAACATCTGTTACAGCATCGAATACAAACTGTATATTTGTAGTATCTGTCGCACATGTAAAATGTGTATAGATTTCTTTTGTTGTCTGTCTATTAAGTGCTTCAAATTTTGTCTGTATATATAATCCAGCTTCTTGATAATTATTTTCACCTACAATAAATAATATATTCAATGATAGAAATGATAGTTTTCAAAGTAAACAATCAATAACTTTAAAAGTCATCTGTAAAATGTTTGTTACAAATAAAAAATAAAAATTCCAAAAGAAGAACAATAAAATGATCATGACAATGTGGAAAGTTTGACTTTATATCAGTTTTTATAGCTTACATATTTCAAACTAAAATAATCTAAATATTCTGAGGTGCAATTAACAACGCAAATCCTTATGCTTGTTCAGCTGGTTATACATTTGGAGAAGAAGAAGACTACGTAAAATGTTCTATTGATAAAATTCTAGTGCTAATATTTACAGCTCATTCATACATACAGATTTTCAAAGTTTGTGGAAAATGTGTTTATATTTAATTAAATGAATGATTCATTATCTCATAACAACTCGCCCACTATAGACTCTCTTGAACTGAAGGTAATTAAAACCTGTGATTTTCCGAATGTCAGGAATATCAGTTGTCATGTAAAAATAATTTTGAATGTGCACCTCACCATTGGTTTCTTTAATAAACATGAAATTATTAATTACACGGTTACTAAATTTAAATTTGTAATAGAGCGAGAATAGTATTACAATTTTCACATGATTATAGAAAAATTTATCGTTTGATTTCAACTCATTGTAGTACCGAAAAAATTCTAAATAATATAGATTTTTTACCTTTATACTATCATGACAACATGTAGTCTTGATTAACTGTTTACTGTTTACACTCTACAAGTTCAGCTTACAAAGATTTCTTAAACTAACTAGTAAGTTTGAGTCATTGTTCTACTGATATATACATTCTTACAAATAATATCATACAACTATTATGAAAATAAGCAATTATTTAACATTGAACCGGAACTACTGTATTTGTATTTGTATTAAAATTGTATACTTTGATCGACTATACAACATACGAAAATGCAGTTGAACTTTGTTACTATATTGAAAAATGATGATAATATATTTAATAATCTATGTGTATTAGTTTTGTTCATCACTATTGTTTAAAAAGATTGAAGCACATAGAAAATTAATTTGTGCAAAACCTATACCAAATTCTTATTTAATTTTGCATTTTTCTGCTTTTGTCTAAAAGAATACGACTATACTTTAATTCGTCGTTGTTGTCGGTTTTTTATTTATTATTCTTTATTTCTGCTAGTTGATATAAGTAAAAGAACACAGATAAGTTTGCTTAAATGCTTATTACTGTATTCTACTTTACTGAAAAGTTTTTAATCCTGAATCATTCAGATTTTTATCCTTTTTCTTCTTCTTCATGGGTTAGAGATGTTCTGTCCTATTTTAAAACACAGGTTTATTAGTTCAGAAAAGACATATTATTTTAATTACCCAGAATTATATATCCACCACAATGTGAAATATTGATGTGAAACTGTAGAACGAGCACTAATGGTGAATGACCGTTTGATGATCTACTTTTTAGTCACTTTATAATCACTTAGCTGAGCTATTTTCTGAAATTATACATTAAAATTCAGTCGTTTAGGCTACTTTCAGAAACTAAACGGTGTTTGTGTCACATACATTTTTCGTCTTCTATTCAATAATAAAAGCTTAAACTACGTGTCAATCTACATGTTTAGAGTGTATCAGAAATTTCCATCAGATATTCCTCTCAGAGGAATTCTACGATATTACAGATCTATGATAAAATTTGATGGTACTAGCATCGTTTGCAATTGAGTACTTAAACACTGAATATCGTCCCCATAGTCAAAAGATTCACATGAATTTTTGTGTGCTGTTATACGTGAATTTGAAACGGTATATTTGAATGATGGAACAACTGTAAGAGCGATGCAGGTGTTGTACACTACACTAAGTAAATCTTGTAAACTCATTGATTAGGCTGTAAATTATTCATCGATTAAAGTGATTAGGTTGAATAATACATACGATAATCCACAGCCTATTTCAATTCATACTGTCAGTGATCATAAGCCATATACAGGTTAGGGATGACCAGACACACATTCTTTACTAGAGCTATATACCTGGCTTTTGTACCGACAATATCATCATACTCGTCAACTGATCAATATAAATTAACTACACTAGCTGTAATTAGCATTTAAACAAACAAATGGACTAGATTTCAATTATTATCAATAAAGTTAGCTCTGATAAAAACCATAACCTACTTTCTTAGGAAAACTTCAAAATTTTAAGTTGTTCATATGTAACCAGTATAGGAATAATTAACAGGTTTTGTCCTAAGATGAGTGAGTAAACTAAACTTTAGGCAATAAGACTTGAAACGATTAGTTCATTTTAAACAGATATCGATTAAATGTTTACTCATGGTTACAATCCGATCACGGATAGATATTTATTTAGCTAAAAAGGTACAACTGAGTAAAGTTCATTTCTCGCCAGTTTGGATAGTTATGCGGCAAGAAATACACTTACAGCCTTTAGAAACTTACATATATAAACAGGCTATGACATATGTATTTTAAAACATCTACTGTACAATGGAACATCATTCTTATCAGATCTTTAAGTTATCTGTTGTACGGGTTCCTATTTGATGTTCATTATAACAACTCATATTAGTGAATAAATCATCGTAAATAATCGTCTTTACACCCGAACAAGCAAATGATGTTCCATAATTTTTTATTATTCCTCTGCAAGCTTAATGGTTTAAACTTGTATCACTTGCGAGTGAAATGCTATTATCTTAATGAAGCTACCATTGACTAGTGCATAATGCGTGATTGTTCACTGGAAACGGTAACATGAATTCATAATTGGTTACCAACAATAGTTATCTACAGTAGTTCTTAAAGCACACAATGATTGGTAATATAAGACTCTCCCGATGAACTAGAAAAACAATATTGCTGTAGGCTAAGTCTAATGAGAATACAGGAATGCTGTGAATATGAAGAATGTAGGCTTATTAGATAATGATTATTCACTTTTTCGCGAAGGGTTGTATGAGCTTATGAAAAATAAATCACAACACTATCAGTCAATAAACCTTAAATTTAAATTTAAAAAGTTACATATTTAGCAACATACAGATGCTTTATATAAAAGCAGTCAAATTAACATCGCAAATTTATCAGATAGAAAGAAATTTGACTATCTTTCCTCATTTTGGGAAACCTTTATTCAATAAGTTTGAAGGCTACTTTACAGTATCTCCAAAACAGTGATATACCAAATTTTTAAAAACGTTTTGGTTTTGGAACTATACTTCACATAAAAGGAACAGCTATTTATTTTAAAAATGACAAGGTTACCGTAATTTATTTTACAGGATTGTGATTTATAAATTACATATTCCTTACTGAAATAAATGCAAATACAGCACTTTTATTTAAATTCATCTATTTATAAAAGATCCCAAGCAATTTAACTATTTATAATCTATAACGACATAAATATGATGAATTTTTCTAGTTTTAAAAATCACAATCTATTTGAGTTATTTTTTACTGGATTAACAATGAAACATGACACTATTCGATTTTATGTCACAAACATTGGTTGTTATATGGACGATAAGAGAGATGTAGATTTTAAAGATACGAATATATAAAGCATTGGTTTTAGTAAACATTGATACATCTATAAAAAAATACAGTGAGATTATGTAGTCCACTGATATTTTGTCTGATAGATCAAACATTATATTTAGACAATGAGAAATAATTCTTAGTAATCTTTGCACATATGTTTTAAAATGTTAACTGAAATGATCAGCAAATCCTTCATTTCTGATGGGTTACGGGGTTGAAGTAAGCATCAGTGTGTACCTAAATTGATCTAGAAGAAAAATTTCAATGATCAATATTGGTTTAGAATATTCATGGCGTAATCAATTTTTCGCGAATTGCTTCCAAAATGTAATATGAAATCAAGCAATTACACAGAACTTCGTTTATTTCTTCAAAACGTTTATCTTGAGGTTTGGTGTTTTCAGTCAACTAACTTTTCAAAGAGTATTGATCGATCACTATGAGATATCAAACAGTTATCTTTCCCTGTTTTGGAACTAGATAGTAATCTGCCTACGATTTACTTTCTCAGAGACATAACAGAGGATTCACAGATATAAGCCAGTCATTTCTAACCATTCCACTATATCTTTACAGAAACGATTAAGGTATAAGGGTTTCCGGCAGATCTATGGTGTATTTTATCTACAGATGACTGAAGATTATCTTAATACGGCTCAAAGAATAAGAACTTGAATAGAGTGGACGTCTGTAACACGACAACAATTTGACGTTAATAATCCACACGTTACTAGAGATAGAGAAAACTGGACCTTGGTGATAGCTTTATATTCCGTAGAGGCATATAATAGAGTTAGTAATTTGATAGTGATCACAATAAATCAGGTGACAATAAATATCATTGCGGACTTATGAATTAAGAAAATTTTATCGACGTAATCCTTTAAAGAAGGAATTAACATGCAATAACCAAATCTTAGGCAAGATTATCTCTTCTTATAGCATTCATTAACTGATATTATGTGACAGTGAAAGATCGTTTGCAATCAAAACTGATGCTTTCAAAGAACTAGTATAAGTACTTATTAAAAGTTTTTTAAGTCAGTTATTGAACGAAAGAAATAGTGAATAGAATTTTAAGGTGAAGTTAACAAGTTATTCCAGTGAATGCAAACATATTCTTGTTTGTAATATTCGGTAAAGTGCAGCTTACGACCCTATTAGCTTACTAAATGATGACTATAAAAAAATAAATATCCAGCTTACGGTTTCTGTGTAGTTCAGAATTTTCAACGACATTAAGATTTCAACCTTCATAAGAATAGTCGAAGTCAAAAATTGCAAATCCCCCAATAACTCTTTAGTTACTGTCAGCTATATACAAAAGAATCGACTCATATGAAACAACTTTACAACTAAAACAAACGTATACCTTCTATTTCCTTTGTTTTAGAGATAAATAACATGGATGGCAAAGCGTCTAAAGGATAACCAATTTACACACAACGTTTTGGAAAATGAACGTTAAATATTAGCACCCATAGTACATTTAGTTTCAACTTAAATTACCAGCTTACATTTTTTTAAACAACAGTGACGACTTTTTAAAACAAACGTCTAAATATAGATTATTTCTGATGTTCAAGATGCGAAACTTAAATATATAAACCTATTAAGATACGCCGAAATGTTATTCATAAAAGCAGTTGAAATGTTTTATTTCACAATAAATAATTATTTTTGCATTCTATTTTAAAACAAAACACCGTATTTTGTTAAGCTACTTGTTGTAACTATTACGTTTAGGCCCGATATACTTCCGGTATAAAATTATTGGTTTTGCAAAATAAACGAAAGTTGATAAACTCAGTTTTATCAATAATTTGATACTGTATATCATTAATATTCAGCTTGGTTTCACATACTAGTTTCAATTATTAATAGTCAGCATTTCTACATTTATTACTAAGATCCTTAATCAATCGAAAAGCATTGAACACCTACTTTTTCCTATTAATTGACTGTTCAGCAGTCTGTATCTGCAATCTCATTGAGGAATAAACTTATGTTTGCGTTCTGGTAGCAACCAACATTCATTCTACATTTATTATTAGTCCATATGATCTTTTTTAGCCTTATGTACTACAAGTAGTTGAATGTATAACCTAATAGATTAGGTTAAATTTATAGCTAAATAAAATAAAATGCATACCTATTCGACCATTTAACTTCGTTAACTTAAATTATTTTAACTTAAAATTAAATCTTCACTTTGGAAATTATACTTTCTCCAAGGACTTTTGGATACATCATCACCAGATATCATCAAACAAACAATTAATCACTCTCAAGGAGTACTTGTTTTATGTTTCTTTCTTTTATGTTAAGTACTTTTACAAAACAATATTTTGGAATAAAAGACAAAACTATCATAAATCACATTAAAACCATTACACTTTGAATTTTTGTGCTTGACGTCTGAAGGCAGTTTTATCAAAACTCGGTCTACAAATATCTGAAATTAAGTAACATTACATCTTAGTAAATGTTAATAAAGAACTGTATAACATAGAATTCTCAATTTTCGTGAAACTAAAATATAATAACCCGGTAAATATTAAGCTTCATATAGATGAATAATGATTGAATTTTTCACTGACTATTAATTTAGGTACGAGTATTCATTTCATATTAACAACTTGTTAGAATGAATAAGTATAAATGTTTCATTGTCAGGAAACACTAATATGCGACACAAAATCTCTCAATCCAAAACAAAGAGACGCATGACTTAAATACTTTTCATATTTTTTATTAGTTTTTGTTTCAGTGAGATCGCAAATAATTTTTATACCGTCATTTATGTTGTTTAATCTTTATAGTGATATAAGCTGTGATCCTATTTCCAACAAAATATAAGATACTGTTTATATAAATTTATTTTATTAATTTATGTAGTCTGTATCTCTTAATTATTCGCACTGAAATATATAGGGCGTAAGTAATAATTCAGAATTGAAATGAAAAGAAAATTACAATAACATACCTATATATTCTGGAAAACAAATTGTCAATGGTGAATGGTAGATTTTTTGTTCAAACAAATCGCGCTTATTCAAAAATAACAACATACTGGTCTCAGTGAACCAACTATTATTACATATAGAATCAAATAAATTCATAGATTCAACCATTCGATTCTAAAATAACAATAATTAAGAGTATAAAAAGTTTCCTTTAAATTAAAAGACATTACAAAGAGAAAATATACTTATTTCATGCCTAGACCAATAACTAAAAACATGAAGTACTAAACAAATTTCTACAAAAATAGTAGAAGATCGATAAAAAATAACAGGTAATAAACACAAACACAGTCGAAAACCTAATATAAAAGGTGCAAAAAAATATCTTCAAATTAACTTTTAGACAGATGGTCCTATTAGTTCATCAAAACATTAGATCTTAACAACTAATGATAAATTCATACCTTAGCATTCAGTTGCTACTGTAGACGTACAACTAACAGTAAAATAATTCAAATTCGTCTAGTTAATTAAAATTGATTTTCAAATAAACACTAAAGACTGAAATATGTCGAAAAATGATTCAAAAATGGTATCTTAAAAAGCCTTAACAAGCGCAATTGATTATTAAAAAATTCATTTCATATATTCTAATTTCTAAAAATGTATTGACAATTATGTGAGACGCCTACCGACTTATCTAATTTCGATTACACTGTTCTTTTGGTCACTTGTTCAATTTGTAAGTCATGAATAAACATTGATGTATAAATTCATATAATTTGGTTATTTGTTCTCTGAAGAAGTGACTTACACTAAGTCACGAAACGTCAGAAAATCCAATTTTCTACTCATTGGGATATTACAAATATATTATTTTTATTTATAACAATGAACCCAATGCTCAATTTATTCGAAATTATCAAATCAAACCTTGGTAATGACACCTATAATCACTTAAATGGTTTAAAAAAGTACTTGACATTTATATGTAGATGATACTACAGAATAAATGCCATTGTTTGTGAATTCATACCCAGACTGGGAAATGACATTTTGAATCTTATTTTAGGTCGATGAATTCTTAATCCTAAATATGTATTTATGGATAATCAAAATATTTTTCATTATTACTAACAAGTATTTTTACTGATTATTTTTATTCTAGGAAAGATGTCCATGGATCAATCCTTAGCTTCTAACATTTTACAGACGTTTCGTGCTCATGAGTGAACTACAAATGTTCCATTTAAACGAAACGTTATTGTTTCTTCATGTTTCCTCACATAATGAAGCAATTTTCACAGCTCGGTATCTTATCGTTTACAAATATTTTGAAGCGATGTTCTGATTCTAACCTCCTAAATAGTAACTACAAAAATATCCCATTAAATAGTAATATTCAGAGAAAAATTAATTAATCACTGCGGAACGGATAGGTGGTACTTCAATGATATAAAAATATCATATGGTTATTTCTAAAATTAATAACACCATTACAATAATTCATCAGAAATATATATATTATGATTCATCCTAGGGCTTCTGTCGTGTGCATTCATTTAGTTGGTATTGACTATTCAACAGCTAATTGTGGCTACAAGAGTCATAATCTTATCAGGGGCTCATCTGTATAGCACTAAACTTATCCATTATCCGGATTACATTTAAAAAACACTCACAGTAGACCAAATTCAGTTTAATTAAAATGAAAGAATTTGTTCACTTAAGTTTATCTACATATGTAATTACATAGTGGTTAGATTTGTGTTTACTACTATACCTGTATGGTCTATAATGATCAGTTAGTTGTCATCATAATTCTATTGGATTTAAATTGTGTTCCCCAATTTTCACTTCAATCATCTTGAATGGATTATTTATTATATGTGACATTTTTGACAAAAATCAATAGCAAAAGAGCAATTATGTAAGTACTTAGTAAACCACTTCTTGCTAGGATCGATATAAGGTCACAATTAATAAATATTTGTGTCGTTGTCATACCGTTAAAAATAACGTATGAAAACGGATTTGCTTTGTTAATATTTTCTAAAATAATTATTTTCTGCTTGTCAAATTATTTTTATTGTTGGTGTTGCTAATATCATTTTATCGATTTTAATTTATTATGCTTATTGTTATTATGGTGATGGTGGCGAAGTTATAGGTAAAATATTCGTTTTTTATTAAATTTTGTCGATGGATTTTGTTAAATATTCTGAGTTAAATTAAGTTATAACTTCAGAGTTATGAACAATACTGAAATCGACTGCATAAATAAGGTAAATCACATGAACCATTTGACTGCATAGAGAAATTAAAAATTATGTTTTCATATAAGCTTCAAATACAAGTACTTTTCATCAAATCAAATGAAAAGAAAATTTTCAATACATAAATAGGGACTCAAGTTATTCAAATGCTTCTCTTCAGTTATTCATAATATGAAAAGTAAATGAACTGACATTGCAATTTATCTGTTGGGAAATTTTGTCCATCATTTATCATTAAAGAAATAGATTATGATGTTTTTTATATGGAGAAACAGTGTAATTAATAATGTAAGAAACAATGACATAGTTTCTGTTTATTGACTTTGAGTTTCTACATTCGAATGGAATATATCTTGATCATTAGCGTAGGAAACAATTTTGAGTTAAGAGAAACTATTACGAACTACACACATTGTAAAACAAAAACATTGATAAAATAAGAGGTATAAAAAGTGAGTTGACCAGAAGTAAGAAATCAGAGTAGGTGATATTTTGACTTCAAAAACCAACTTCTATGGCGTTCTCAATGTAAAAATCGATCATTCATGAATCACTTCTCGGATTATAGTCATTTGATGGTCAGTGATTTTTTTCTAGAATATTCGGAGATCATTTGACGTACCAACATTGTGTTGTGTCATGTAACTGCCAGGTAAACGGACAAAGTGGAAAGTAATTTCTTGTCAAACTCAAACACCTTAGCTTGCTTCTATCAAACTCTGTATACGTCCATCCCCATAACTTGGCAAAATACATTGACTAGTTTATTTGAACTAATTGGCAAACACAATTTCGATCTATTAATTTTTGCTCGAACTCAGCAAACATAGTAACTGAGCTCTGAAGATGATCATGTTTTCAACGAGCTGGCCTTTACTTACTTATGAACCATAGTTCTCTCTGTATACAGAACAATGAATACCAGATTCTTCATGGATGCAACAGCTACTACATGTTCCATTTGTAACAAAGTACGAGCGCCGTTACCATAAGCTCCATTCGTTCTGATTTATTTTATTCATTAACTCAACTTTTTGATTAAAAAAAGAATTGGCTGTTCACTTGACACAAGCTTCGATATTTTAATTGTTATATGTTTATGTAGTAGATGCCGATTGACTGTGTTTTAATTTCTGAATATGGACAACCAGACTAAACCATCAGGTAGATATTTTAAAACGCTGAAAAATTAACTATGGTTCTTGAAGGTTGTAATTTCCCTTTGTTGAAATTCATGACTGAATTTTGACCCAGACTTATTTGGGTATGTAGAGCCTTAGTGAGTATTTCTATATGTCCCTTTCGCTACAGATTTTCATACATGTCAATAACTGATAGCACTGTAATCTATGACTCTCATATTTTCTCATTCGAAATTCATGAAAAAACATTTCATGATTTATGAATAAACATCATTCACCCCGAATAGCTTGGCGACTATCTAACCTCAGTGTCATACTCGTCAGCACGTCAGTATTTAAGGTGATTTGTGATAAGTTCCAATTTTAACATATACGTTAATACTGGCATACATGTATGTCCAGCTAACAAGTCTCAAACGGGATGTAATATGCATCGAAAATCATACTACCAGCCAACATCCAAATAGACTCAAAGGTCAACTAGTGGTTCTAAACCATGAATTTGACTAATTCAGAAAATTGAGTACGATTTTAAATCAAGATGACAAAGACCTCCAACTATTAAACTATCATAAATGCAGGCTACAAGTCTATAGGTATCTCCCTACACGACTTAGAAAACACGTAATTAATGTTATATATTATCCTTTCTCTCGATTTAAAGGTAGTTGTCGATGAATCTACACAGTTAAAACATGTAAACTAACCCATACTGACTTGTTTTCTTGCTCAAGAGATCTAGCTCTGCTTTAAAACTGTCATTTCAATGATCAACTGTTAGAATATCTTTTACTTAAAGCATTATGGCTGACCCATCTTGCTGACTGAAATATTTATGAGTAACAAGTTAAAAACTTGCTCATCAGTTCATACAAGTTTGTTTATCGTTTAAAGAATTGTTGGACGTTTATGCAAACCACTAAAAGTTAAGAACTTACAGTTGTTTGGTCTTCAGCTAGACCAAGATCATACTCACTTAATGCAACCACAAATATGATTGCAGTGACATCTTGGAAACAATGAATCCACTTTTTTCTTTCTGATCTTTGTCCGCCGACATCTACTAACCTACATTCACCAAACAATGAAAAGTAATCGTGAGTGGTTTTCTTATTTTTGTCTGGAAAAAACAGAAAGGGTTCTAGAGTGCCACCATTAACCTAATTAATCACTGGAAATCTTATATCTTACAAATTTTTTAAGGGTTAGATTGTCAATTATAGAGTTGAGATAGATATTTATTCACAATCATGTGCCCATTATACAGTTCGCCGCAAGAGTAGCAATGAAGCAAAAATTTATTTTTATGTTCACTTCAACTTATCAAAATGCAACAATGGAAAATTAACTATCGTATCCTACACAACCAATCATTCACGGTTTTAGTCGATCTTTATTAAAAATTATTATTTAAATTTAAAACAGATTTTTAAGCTTGAGAAAATTAAACGATACATTTTGAAACTTATTACCCATCACGGGAACGGAAATATTCAGGAGTCATCATGGGTTTATTTGAAAAGTTGCATTGATTCATCTCGATTTAGTCTGGGGCAAATAGATCATTATTCACTGGTTCTTTTACCCAGGCATTTCTTTCATATCTTGTATCCTTTAACTTATTAAACTTTCAATATCTTACGCTGAACCTACAATAGTCCTTTTGTTAAGGTCTTTCTTTCAAAAATGGAACCTTATCCGGGTTTTCAGTGTAAATCAGCAAATAGTTAGAAGCAAAATACTAAGTGAATTGACGCAGTAGTTGTACTGTGGTGTATGATAATTGTGTTTGCAGATATAAGTTGTGTGTAACACCAGCATGAAATGTAATGTCTGAGACTAGAAGGTTGAGAAGATTCAAATGAAGAGAAGAGAGAAGTAATCAAGATAAAAACGGAAACAAAGGAACAAGGAAGCGTGTAAGAGATTTACAAATAATGTAGTTGGCGTATAATTTTCACATTTTACTAAACTACTGGGTAGTTGTACAAGAAACTATAAATTGGTCTTCCCCACCTAAGTGTTCGTTCACTAAAGTACTAAATTAAGCTAAAGTGTAAAGAATATTAAAGAATTTCGGTCAACAGATTGTAAACTGAATGGATTGCTATATTTTCAAACGAGCGTAAAAATGATCATGAATAAAAATATTTGCAAATGAAAAATCATTTCTTGATCAAAAAGAATTATCTAAAAGTAACTACGCTTCAAAGTTTGGTTAAAAGATGTCATTTTCTCTGCTCGGCTGTTCGGAAGCTTACATCATGTGAATAAAACATTGTTTGGTTCAAGACAAAACAAAACAACCTTAAAGAGACACTTTTCTCCCCAGTGCTTTTTGTTTTCAGTCGCTTTATCTTGCTCTGCTTTGTTTTCATTAGAAATTTAATAAAAGTCAACTGATAACGCAAATTATTCTCAGTTTATCACACGAATAATATATTCATAAAAAACGTCATCCCAACATGCTACTTAAGACTTCCTGGTGGTGACATTATTGGAGAACTTGAAACTATTGCCGCTCTTAGAGTTAACAAGTTTAATTTAAGCGAACATCAATCAGGATTCACTATTAAAACATTTACCGGAACTCAATCTTTTTGTAAGAAAACTGAGTTTCTTGTATGCCCGTAGTCTTCACACGTGTTCTTAATACGTCTTGATCGGTCGGAATGTAATCATGTTTAGCCAATCTATCTAAAGAATTGAAAAAGCTGCAAAAGGATAGAAACAATAGAAAAGCAGTTGTTTTAGACATTTGTCGTGGAAAAAATAACGTTTATGTTTTATAATTTTCCCATTTCTTGATTATAAATCACGTAAACTCTTGGCGATATCTCGAAATATTTACTCCAATGTTTGCGGCTGGTAACGCTTTCTTTGGAAAGTCAAAGTAACTAGGGGTAATATCAATACAGAGGGCAGGTTTTTACACAATACAAGAGAAGAATATGACACTCCCTATTTTCTCCTCACTTTCAGAAAAATAAGACATATAAATAACGATCATAGAAATGTTTCTTTTTTATTTCTTTGTTAATACAGCTGATGAATATTTTAAAAATCTGATATCATTCAGTTCGCCAAACAACTACTTCTAGCTAATATGTTCAGGCATAAAGCTCTTAGTGTTTGAACTAATATAACGCCTGGTTTCTTTTACAATTATTAACTAACTGCCAAGTTGTAGGGCTAGGTTGGTGGCAAAAGATGCTCACCAAACTAATTTCAAGATGACAAAATCAGTTATCTATATAACTGTCTATGTTATGATATCTATCGTTGCCGCCAGTTTGAATACATTCATAGAATCTGTCATAATATTATATATTGAATTAAATGTTTTGCTACAACATTTCACTCCATCTTAACTCTAATGGTGCGTAAACTTTAATTTATTATTTAAGACTTACTAAGATGCTGAATCATTTAGTTGGTATTCTCTTGAACGTTTAAAACATTGCTGAACACCGCCATCATTCCAGAGTTGATAAAGAGCATTGTATAATTCAGTTGATAAGTAACCGTCTGCGGCCTCATTCGCACACGCAAATAAAGTTCGAGCGTCGTCCTATTTAAGATTTGCAGTAAACAAAATATTTTTTCTGATATTTGAGGAAGTAATAACTTAAATACACTGGAACAACTTTAGTCAACGGTCTAAAAATGACTTAAAAGTGATTTTTTATTAAGATTTCGAAAAATTAATGTATAACAATTAAAATAATACAAGGCGAAAGTAAAGTATGGATACGATCTCTTGGTCACACTTTCGCGTTAAACATTTCAGGTTGAAGATCATATACTCAAAGCTAACAAGCAAGTTTTGGGTACATTTTTGGGTATCTTTTAAGATAAAATTTTACTACTGTAAGAAACGAGAGCACAAGTGGGAGCAAGCAAATGCATTTTAACATACACCACATTACTCTTAATTATCAGTATATATCAATGTCATTTATCACAAGTTTGTTTAGCTAGTGAATTTTTATTAGTACTGTGTAACTTCTAGATTTTTGTGTGAACTTATCTAGAGTTGCAAGCTTGATATTTTGTTCACTCAAATACAAATTTTGTGAAATAAGTCATATGGCTTGTTTTTGTAAGGTGTAACATAAGAATACAATTTTAACAAGAAATAGTTAGATGTCAAGCAGAAAATTATATTATGCTTATTTACAAAGTGCTAACCTTGGTAAAATTATTTATGGCATTTGTTTTACTTTGTCTATGTTGCATGATTAGTCAGTGCATACTGTATGGTCTGTGCAACTCTCGGTCGCTAGTTATCCCCGAGTTCAGTTAGTATTTTCGTAAAGAGGTATCTACAACAGCAGGCAAGCCTGAAAATATGGTAACTTATTATTAGGTTTCTTCGACATTTTCTTATTCGTAGGAAAGAATGGATAAGTATGCCAGGTAAACAATCACTTAATGATATATCACTTTTCCCAAAAACGAAAAACATTTGAAGGAATAAATCGATGGGTAATGTCAATATATGTATCTATAGCAAGACTAACAAGCCAGCGACGAACCACGCAAACTGCCTGAATTATTAAAACATGTTATATTTTTTTCAAAACGCCAAACGTTTTTAGAGTTTCACATCTGTTTCAAGGTTTAATATCAATTTCAACTATAAACTACAATTCTCGAGCTCGTAACAAAGTCAAGACAGCTAATTTGGTTAAATGCATAGCAAACGATTAAAAATCCAGTTTAACTATAAAAACGAATTTATCTACTCTAACTAAAGCCTGAAGGGTTCTGAACACCTTGGTAAATTTACACATTATTTTCTCTCGATTGGGATCATGAAAAAGCTATGCCTTTAAGTTAGGACGATTTATAAGGATTGCAACATGCTTACTTTTGTTTATATACAGTTTTTCTCAAAGTTGCTTCGTTAAAGTAGTAAATCGTCTGAGACTAAGACACAGGAAAAAGCAATGTTTTAAACACCATCGTCAATAATTAAAAGCTATCAATTCAATTAAGGATAGACGTTTTAAGACGTTGGTTCGAAGAGGATCATTTTCACAAGAGAAACAACTCACTGTTCGACACTCGTCCTCAAATTTAATGTACAAGTGACCCATTGCTCGTATAATTGCTATCATACTCTGAACGGTGTTGCTATAAACAACAGGTTTATAAAGTAAGCACTCCTCTCTTGTGTAGCTAGACTGGTGAATAATCCTATACAGAGTCGTCTTAAAATTGACTGACCCTACTTTAGCTGCTTAAGTATTGTACTTTTTCCAGATTCACCAGCACCTTGAATTATTAAAAAGTTATGAAACTTTGAAGATTACCCAACAACAATAGCTTAGCTATTCTTGCCATTTTTTCGCCATCGCTTTTGAGTGAGGCATCTATCTGTTTAGATCTAAGAACAGCTTCCTTCTCGTCAATACTTAGTAAACATCCCATCACGAAATATAGTTATGACGTTTATACCATGCGCTAATATTATTCGGTGAACAATAAAACCAAGATCGTATCAAAACTTATTTATTATCTTGTTTTGAGATAGATTATCAAGTGATTATTTTATTTTCTGTGAATTCATACTATACACTAGAGAAAGACTGCAGTGGTTGAGGTTTGAAAGGTACCAAAGTAATCGTACCGAAATAATAAATGATTGTGAATAAACACTTAACTTACTGCTGAGATTCAGAGTTTTTATTTTTATTTTTACATTTATTAGCTTCCTTCAATAAACAGTGCACCGTTTGTATGTTTATATATGGTAAATGCAATCAGTATTTGCTTTGTTTAGTTAGTAATATATGTTATGATAATATTGATCGAACCCTTTCCATTTTACAACCTAACGGATCTACAACCAATAATCACAATATGGGTTTTAAAGATATCGGAAAAAGCATTCATCAGTGATGTCATTTTCACCAGAGAGTAGTTCATAATTTCTTAATTTTTTGTCAAATGAACCACAGATCATGCTATACCCATGGTCACTTGCTAAGGGGTATGTCCCTTTTTAATAAAGCACATGATTTCATCGACACAAATGTTAATATGATTTCAAGGAATTGTCGCTAATGCAGAAAATTTGTTAAATCGTGGAACTATGCCTTTGTGCAGCTCAGTTTGCCTCTTGTCTCTTCACTTGGGAGAGGCTTTAATTCTTGAAAGATTGTACAGAAGTGCCTTAAAGCAACATTATCACGGCAGAGTTTTATATCAGAACAAAGTAGCACTGAAGCTAAATCTAAGTCATTAGTGAAGGAAATATCCTGAAAACGTTATTTTTATGTTCGACATCAGAAATCAATCGTACACTTTCGAAATGTGAAAGCCACGCTCATCTCATTTGTCTATGTGACACAAAATCTACTTCCCCGTAACTCTGCAATTGAGTTAATAACTTTGGTGCCGTGAAAGAGAATGCTGTGTATAGATATGAGGTTTAGGGAGATTTTATTCTGACAGGAGAACGGGACAATTCATCGGAATCTATGGAGTTCAATAAACTTGCAGTGAAAATAAATCCACGTAACAAATATTTCTATAAGTAATCAACAGTAATGCTGACCTGTCATAACCCTTGACGTCTTCAGTGGTGGTTTCGATGTAATCTTCTATACCGAACGAAACGCTTTGATAAAGACCATCCGCATATGTAGAAACCTAACTGATTGACAAATGTTAGACCAGCTCTCACGCAATAACAAAACATGGGACCGAAAAGCGATGAAAATTTTCCGACTTATGAGTGATATCATTTGTAAACGAACTTTCAGCGAATCGTATTTCAGAAAACTCTTTATGTCTAATCTCCTTCAGCAAATGTAAGCAGTTTTTATTTCGTTCTTAAATAACACCATAGATCAGTTTGTTGTACTTGGTAACAAATGAGCTTCATTTATTCTTCACGTTCTGGATACCACCAAAAAAACTGGCAATGAGGTTTATTATGTTAAAAAAAGATCAGTCTACAAAAACAAAATAACATTTCCGTAATACCATCACTTCCTTTCTAAACATCTGTCATGATCACAAATGGTCTAAGATTCCTCAAAAAGCCCTTCACGCAAAAGATTTGCCTTTAGTTCCCTGGTAATATATACCCACAATCAGTACTCTTAAAACAACACCTATGATAAGTCCTCCAGAAACTGCGCAGTTTTAACGACCCCAAACCTTTCACGATAAACCTGAACGAAAATTCAGTTTTTAACCATAAACCACACTTGGATTAACTCTCGAATAGGTTGGATCTTTCAGGTTCCTGGACAACATCATCGATGGACGTGGATGACCCGATGCAGACGAAAGGGCTAGGATTAGTAAAGCAAATGCCGCCTTCCTACAGCTGAAAAACGTATGAGACTCAAAACAAATGTCAACCAATACCAAAGTCAGCATCCTCAATACGAACATCAAGATAGTTCTACCGTGCTGAGCTTAAACATGGAGATCTACTACAGTCATTATCAAAAGAGTACAAGTATTTATAAACAATTTTTTATGCACGATACTATCTGCCCGTTGACTGGAAACAATCAGCAACAACCTGCTGTAAGAGAGAACAAATCAGCTTCCAGTTGAATTGGAGGTTAGGAAAAGACAATGAAATTGGATAAGACATACATTACGGAAATCACCAAACTTCATCATGAGTCAAGCGCTTACTTGGCATCTTGAAGGGAAACGGAAAAGAGGAAGACCAAATAAAACACTGCATCAGGAATCCAAAGCAGATATGAGAGGATTTGTGGTCACTGGAAAGTACTGGAAAAGATTTCTCAGGACCGAGTTGGATGGGGAATGCTGGTGGATTGCCTTTGCCCTTTCACGAGGGTTATTAGGCGTAAGTAAGTTGTAATATTAATATGCCGTTCAGTTTGAAAAATACTCCACAAGCTTTCAAGAGATTCATCAACATAGTTTGTGCACGTATATGTCGATGACTGTCTAGTGGCAAGTTAATTGATAGAATCCCGTCCCCAGTATTTGAACTTTATTTTTCACTGACTTCAGAGGACCGCACTACCGTTAACGCAGAAATTTCAAACTGTTATTGACTAACATGACTTACACAGGCAAGCTATATTCGCCCAATGTATTTGATCTCCAGAAAACAGTGTGGTAGCTATTCTAGATCACTCAGGACCTATCACAGTCAAGTGACTGCACACATCTCCACTGACGGTTTACACGAAGTCTTATGTGACCATGCAAAAGTCATCGAATTGAACAACAGTGATGAAAGCCAAGAATTCACTCCATCCGTAAACGTCTAACCATTTCTCTTTGCCCGTCTTCAGACAAGTACTTTCCTTAAGAATCTAAATAACTGGACTTCATTTCAAAGATCACTTCAGACATATATGTTTCAAGGACAGGCAATGTAGTCCCCCATATTCTTTTAACGGTCTTCTTAGAACTTTTCCAGCTTCGAAAAATGGACACCGATCTTCTGTATGTGTTATCCTCAACAACCCTCAAACAGATGAGATCAGGCAAGGTAACTGTACTTTGTGCCAACACTGAAGTTAACGATAGTCCATTCATGGGGAAACACTGTTGTCTCAATATCATCAATACGTGCACAAGTCTACGTATCCAAATGTTCAAGTAACCATCAAATTAAGAGAAGAACGATATTTCCGCTCCAGTATGAATCAAGACTTAAAGAAGTGAGTTACCGGACATTAGTGATTATACTTGCTAAATGTCACCCAGGTTATTTAACATCTCCTGGAGCCAGCTTCGGCCATATTCATCATTGTTTGGTAGGTCTTACCAAAATCAAGTTAATACCCTTATTTCTAAACGATTTAACACGATGGGCAGAAGCAGTATATGTCAGAGACCTTACTACTGAAATAGTGGCCCGCTCCTTCATCAAACGACTGGTAGCAAACCTCGATCGCTCTTGGACTGTTAAAACAAGCCACGGATCTCAGATCAAATTTAGATTTCTATGTATCACAACACTCCCAGGAACCACATGAACCAAATGGCCGTCTTCCTTCTGTATGTCCACAGGCTGGTAGGACGATTTTAGTGACAGCTGTAGGTTTCACGTTCAGCAGAAAACATTTTTGAGTGGACTGATGTAGTTAGATTTGTCCTATTCAGAATTCGTATTTCAGTGAAGACGGTAATGGATACACTGCAGACAATTTTATTTGACGCACGACACTTTGAACCTCAGACGAATTCGTAGATTATTCAACCTCACAGTCAGTAAATAACGTGGATTACCATTTCGTCGTATCCAGACTCTATGGCTACTTTGAAGACCGTATAACACATAGAACGTTATTACAAAAACATATTAGTGAGAGTAGGTGTAAGGAAGCGAATGCGATCACCAAGGTATGAGCCGGTCCATGGTGTGAGATTAGACGATATACGCGTTGGTTGTCCTTGAACTTCATTAGGATCAGTGAACTGCTGGATGATTTGGCTAGGGCCTAGTGACTTTTAACTGACCATACAGTATCATTTGCAACTTGCGTGAGAAGGTAAGACAAAAATGAAAACGTACGGAAAATTACCATTGTTCTGGAACCAGACTACTCAATTTTTAGTGGAAATCTGTAATATCATCTTAATGAAATATACAAGATAAAAGAAAATTAGTCAACCACATTCATGCCAGTTGGTCTTTGTCCTTGTGGCCGAAGTGATGACCTTAAATGTCCGAAGCGCTCTATATAAGCTAGTTGATGTACCCTCTTTTCCAAAATTAGTATGTCGAGTAGACAGTCTGGCAATCTGCGCACTTATTTGGATAAAGTATGTTCATTTTTGTATGCATATCGGCTTTTCTATAGAAATTCAAACCCACCTTTGATCAGGTAAGTTAAGTTCACCTGCCTCAGTGGATCCCTAGTACGGTACAAAAGATGGTATTCCATTGTCTGATTTGAAGAGCCTTCTCGGGAAGTCTGACCTACCAGAATCAAAAGTTCACAATATTGTGGACTCAGCCGATAAAGATGGAGACCAGTTCATTACTTACGATGAGTTCCTAAAACAAGTAAGTATTTTCAAAATATAGTGTAACAGATTTGTATGTTGTCAATGCGTTATCCTATGTAATGCACAGTAATAGAAAAAAGATGTATGTGACAAACTACAAGCTTAGAACAATAAGTCTGGTTGACACGGTTGACATTTTGTTAGTGCTACTTGTATTTATCAGTTTAACTGATGGTGTGATTGGTTAGTGATATGATTTTTAATTATCCTCTACTGCGTATGAGTAGTGTCTATTTAAATCCTAGTTGGTGTTGTGTATGGACGCGGTTGGACTTCAGATCATGTTCGTCTATGGCGAAATCACTCGGTTAACTTTGTATACATTATCACGGTTGTTTCCAGATTACGAAGCAGGTTGACGCATAGATTCGAATCTGTTATTCCGACACATGCAATTCGACGCGTTTTCCGTCTTCGAGCTTTGGTATTTGTTGTGGGAATTTAGTGAAATCGTAGTTTACTTTTGATAAATGAAACTGTGACTTATTCTTGGTGGGTGGAAGTTGTGAAATTTCTTACTTGAAACATTCGGAGTACTTATATAGAATGCAATCATATAATACTTTACTATGCTCTCCAGATTACTGTTGTACTGAAAACAAAGTTTTCACTAATAGAGTATAAATCTTCTAAACATGTGGAATGTCCCACTATGTCTGTTTCGAAGTCTGGAAATGTTAACTGGTAATATTGTCGATGCCGAGAGCTACTGATGGAAGAGGACTTCGTCTATTCCTCTCCTAGTTATTTAAATAACCTAACACTTGAAACTGCGTTGACGTTTGACTGTTATGTAACCCTATCGGGTTGTTGATTGCACTTTCTTGACTGTATAATTAACATCTTATTTCATAACATTTGTGTATTGTGTAAACTACAATAAATGTGGCTCAAAATCTGAGTTTCTTTTTATAGCATTGTACTTTAGTTACATTTATATTCCAATTGATTGAATGATTTACACCTTTACATATTTGCTATGTATGTCCATATTTTACTGTATTCTTTTACGAATCATATGTTGCCACAGTTTATGGCGGACAGTATACATTTAATTTCGTCTGAACCTATTCCCTCTAAGAGCTGTTTTTGAATTCTAGTAATGTTTTTGAGAGCGACTGGGCGTGTTGGGCAACAATATGATGGTTTTTAACAATAGTCAATAGAATCATATAATTTTTTAATCTTTTGGTGTAGTTATTAGTTCCATTTTAGTGTTCCACTTTTGTTTACAATGTTTCCCTAAATTTCGAATAGGTTCTTTCTGAGGATGAAGGAACTCTTCGGAGACTGCGTATTCACAAACGAGTCCTCAATCGTGCAGTGTTGGCTATAGCACCGGATTGTGGACGCGAGTATCAACGGACTGTTGCTGTAAACTCTGGTTACGATTCTATCGATGGCTACAATTGGGGTGAAGCAGATGTTGATAATTATATACAGGCGTATGACTGTCGCCCTCCTCCTATATTTATCCCTTTGATAACTATTGCTGAGGTAATTCATTTCTTGATTGACTGACAACACTTTGTTTTACATGATTTGGTTTTTGTTTGTGGATCTGTAAATTATTTTGTTGTTCACTAAGAAGTGTCTATCAGCACTATTCTGGTCTAAAATACTAATTCTGATGAGAACGAATTAGTTTTTGAAAACAGTCACATGGAAGCAACATTAATCAGTGGAGTGGATCTCTATAATTTGAATCAGATCTAAACACGAAGTTGAAATTTTGAAGGCCAAATGATAAGTGTTATATTTTTGTTCACTGTATATTGTCTTTCTCACTATGTATGAGGGGTCAACAGTTGTCTGTAATTTTATACTTCTGTACTGGGTACTTCGTTTGAGCCGTATTTATACATAATTTCCACATTTCTAGGCGCATATTGTTTCGTCGATCTCATTGTTATGTCTTTTAAAAAAAATATCATTTGATTATTTTTTAGTGATCCATAAGCATTTAAATATTGTAACCATGATCTTCTGCGACCAAAGTTTATGAAAACACTGAAATAAGGACATTACTGAAGCAAAACCTCGTACTATAGTTTTGTGTAAAAGTTTAGAAAGTTTTTCTGTACACAAGTTTTTTCATACATGTACTGCGTACCAGAAACCCATTTTCGATTCGCTTTTATCATATATTTCTTTTCGAATACACAATTGTGATCTCTTGTTGTTGAACTTTTGTTTCTCAATTTTCTAAAAAACACCCATTTTTCTTAGAATCATCTGTTGCGGTTCTCATGGTTAGTATGTTCAATCTCAAAGTCAAATATCGAACTGTATAGTAGTACTAAAATTATACTTTTACATTATAAAAGTCACACATTAGTGACTGTCGATAATTTCGATGTTTTTTTGTGTTTTTTTTAGATTGTAGTTTTTATTTACTACGTTGTTACTTACAACAACAAACCTAGCTCTTCCAGTATCGTCACAGCGTCATCTGGTGTCCCAATTGATAGTATATTTATTTATAACCCAACTAAACGTCATGAAGTATGGAGATTTTTGACCTATATGTTTATTCATAATGGTTATGTGCATCTAGCTTTCAATTGCTTACTTCAAGTTGTACTTGGTCTTCTACTTGAAATTGTTCATAAATTTTGGCGAGTTGGATTAGTTTATTTGTTAGGCGTTATTGCAGGTAGCTTTCGTATTATTATTTGTAAAAATACGTATTTGTAAAAGATTTTCAGACGCTTATTTTCCTTGAAAAAGCTTGGTCCAGATTGCCAGGCGAAACGTTTGATCTACTTCAAATTCTTTCGCTGAAATTTTACAAATACATTCTTCCACTTATGTATTTGTTTTTCAAAAGTTAAAATGTAAAGTAATGAACTGGAAACTTAGGTCTACTCAAAACTTATTGTAAAGTACATAACAACACTATAATCGCAAGTATATTGTCTGATTTTACTTTCTGTGCTTTTCCGTTCCTTTATTTTGCCCTATTTAACTCCGAGATACCTATCTACACCCGACCAGTCTTATGCAAATATTTCGTTCTTTTGTCTTATATATTTATGTTGTATGTGTTTGGCAAGAAATTTTTAATTTGTCTCTTGACTTTTTACCGAAAATTCAACAGTTATTTATTTAATCCTGTTTTTGTATATTAATGTTTTCACTATAGGTTCTTTAGCTCATTCTGTGAGTGACCCATTTGTTTTGTTGGCAGGAGCTAGCGGAGGCTGTTATGCACTTATTGGCGCTCATTTAGCTACTGTAATAATGGTATGTTGGGTCTTCTCCTTTTCTACCGTATATTTTTAAGAAATCTCATTAAAAAATAGAAATTATTGCTTTATCATCCACCTATGGCAAGTGTAGACAATATATTGTTGTGTAAATCGAGTAGTAACAGTCTCAAAGCTTTTGAAGTGATTTGGTTGTATATTATTTGATAATTATTACCCAGGAGTTGATTATCATTTGAACTAATAACATGAAACGTTTTTTAATAAGAAATCCGAAGCGCATAATCAACTGTTAGAAATATACCACGTCTAATCAATCTAATTCAGAGCAAGTCAGTTAGGTATAAATGTTTTCGAATTGAAATAGTAAAAGTTTATAGAAAGGGATATTTCGTTCATATGGGATGTTGTTTATGGACAGTTCATTCCCGACATGTTTAGTTAAATTTTCTCTTTGTTAATAATAACTGTCGGTGTTATTGTGATAAAATTGGTCTTATAATAAACTTATCGACTTAATACAATGACAGCAATGACTAAAATTATTGAACTGGCAACTCACTCATTAAACCTGTGCTCAAATTAGAACTGCATAGCATTCCTACGGCTAATCCAATCTTCAACTTATTGGGTGTTTTGTTAGGGATAAAACTGTTTGTATACAAAATGTTTAACCGAGATATTGTGACTGAGTTACTTATCAGTCGGGAAGTTGCGAATGAAAGTAAAATTCACAAGAAATTCAGTAACTCACATGTAGGCTTTTTGCTTTCCACAGTCTGTCTAATTAAAGAACGCTTAGGATGAATCGAAAACTTGACAGAAATCCTTTCACTACTACGTCTTTGTAAGTTCAATGCTTTGACCTATCAAAAGAATGCTGTACATATTTCTACCAAACTATGACATGGTTGCGATTTTCATTGCCCTGTTCAATGGGGTGACCGAACTACTTTGGATTCCCTTGTCCAAAACAACTGTATATCGGTTCACTGAGTACTGGAAGTTTTTTTCCATTTTAGTCATAGTTGTAAGATTACCCAATAGAAAATTCAAATCATTTAGGAATTAGGGTCTTAAGTGGTGTTAAAGTAAGGGTGAGGGAAACGTAAAACCAATTCTTTGCAAATAATGGTTGTGCCTTTGACTTATCCTTTACCTTTAAAAAAAACACAAGAAATAATTTGCCGCGATTCTGTTAACTTATTTGTTAAATTTGATCAAGATATATAACTGGAAGTTATATGCTTTATGTATTTCAATCTCAGATTCGTTAAATTGTTTTTGTATGAAGAAGTTGATGAGATATTATTTTGAATGACAACTCTGTCAACAAACTATCCGGTGGTTAAATATCAATAGGTAATTAGGAAGTCGTTTCGTCTAATATCTATCAGATTACAATAAAAAAATTACATTTTCAGATGAATTTCGGTTATTCAGTCAGTCAATCAGTAACAACGTAGAACTTCGTACGTACGTACATCAGTTCGAGTTGCCACACCACATTAGCACAGAGATGCAGTTGTTCATTCAAATCCCGTAGTGGTAGAGGTAGTAAGAGTATAAGCAGTAATCAGAAAGATTAGGGTTTGGAGATGTTATTTAAAGAGTATAATCCAGTGAAATAAATTTGGGAAGAGAAAAAAGAGACAACGAAGGATCAGGAGATTAGAATTTGAAGGAACACAAAGAGTGGGTGCACCTTCACCATTGCAAACGATTTTGAGCCATGTCATTCCGAGTCTCTAACCACCGATTGATATCATCTCTCGGTCCCCAACCAGGTAGTCTACACCTACCAATATGACTCAGTATGCTTGTCAATGACTTCATGGACTTGTGCCATGTTTTGTTCTGGTCGCCCCTAGCTTTCTTCCAATCTACTCTTATACAACAAAACATCGCACATCGAGGCAGTCGGTTATTGGTGCCTATTTAACTTTGTTAAAGTTCATGCTGTTTTCTTTGAATTGTTGTTTTATTTTCCGAATACTTCAGAATTGGGATATAATGCAAGAGAGATGGCTAAAAGATCCTTTAAACTTTATATCAAGTGGTGTTGTCAGATTAATTCTAATTATTCTACTTGGTGAGTTATAATCATCACATACTTATTTGTATCGTAAAGTACTGCGTATCGCACAAGTGTTTATACATTTCTTCCACTTGTACTGATTCTATTTCAGTTGTGCTTTTTTTCTATTATATATATCATAAGTTTTGATTTTCAGTTGGTTAGAAAGGTAAAGCTATTTCACCCTATAAGTAACTATATAAGATCTCCACCTGGTGTACACAATGTGTTGCCAAAAACAGGACCTCCGAATTTATACTTAATAACTGAGTTAAGTCACTCATCACATTATCTACTTCAAATACTGGTTCAAAAGGTCTATTACTTTAACGCTTCTCTTTTTTTTAATTATTTGACGGTTGATACAGTTATTTTCGAGTCTAATGTTCGTCTATAAACATTTTGTTAATTGTCAATGAACGATTTGTTATCTGTTCCATTTTCCTAGTAATTTTATATCGTATGGTTTTAGGTTTCACTAGAATGAAAGATTCTTGTTCTGTGCAATTATTTCAGTCATAAAATCCAAAAATATATTTTTAGTAATGGTGCAAAATATAAATAACCTTGGTATTTATGATAAACCGTTTCAATGTACCAGAGTAGCTTAGCGGTTTTATTGCTGCTTTGAATACGTTTATTTCAATTTGTTCACCTGAAACTTTAGTTTGAACTTTTATCAAATAATTGTTCATATAATTAGTGATAGAGTACTGTCGAAATCATTTAGATTGTCATGTTTAAACTAGATGTTCAATATTAGTACACTGCATGCCAATTTACTAGTATAATAGTTTGCTATCTTGTCTGCACATTATTGTTATATGATTATCGGTATTAATTCATGTTCTTTATTTAAGGTGGTGGTGATACTGGATTAGCCATTTATGCTCGATTGAAAAACCCAGATGAAAGAACACGAGTTGGTTTTTCTGCTCATTTCGGTGGATTTATAGCAGGTTACTAAGCAAATCTAATTTGTTCTAACAATTATCGTTTTTTTGTTACGTATCCATTTCCTACCAGTAACCAATGATTAGTTTCTTTAAACATATGTAAATTGTTTATTATTGACCCAGAATTGTATATTTTGTGCGTTTTCATGTTCAATTTATGGTGAAATTTTCGGATTCGTAGTTCAACTCCTAGAACTATCATAAATACGTACAATACCAGATTGTACGACCATAGTTACATTTAAACAGATAAATTAACTAGCTATAAATTTATATTTTCTATATTTTTCTGCTACTCATATCTCTTTATAATTTTTAGAATAGTGACTTAATGGTTGAAGTGCGTGATTTCCAGCCTCGCGCTTATAGGTTTGAACACTATGCTATCTACTTTGTTTTAGACAAATAAGTAGTATCACGTCCAATAGACAAAGACAACTTTAACTTTGCATTAAGTGCGCACAAAAATAATTCTAGTAAATAAGTTATTATTATTTCTGGGTTTTACAACAAGAAATACAAGCAAATGTAAATGTAGTTACAAACATAGATACAATAATATAACTTGTTTAATAATATCTTCAAAACCCCAATACATTGATTTCTAGTAATAAATTTGACCTAGTCACATGTTTGCTCATTTGTAAAAGTATCTTATATAACTGAAGATTGTATTTATCATATTAAATATCTAAAAGTAAAATAAGCTGGCAAACTATAACAAAAGAATTTGTTTGAATGCTGTTATAACAATGTAAGTAGATGTTAAACTACTGGCAGCAAATCTTAGTCCTATTCACATATTTATTTGATCTATCAGTGCTAACAATGTATCATATAAAAAACAGTTTACGTGTTACTAGTTGAAACCAAACTTAATATAATGTCTAACTGTGACTTGTATAAGGGGTAGATGAAATAGTTCTTATCCTTTAAACTAGCTCCTTATTGTGCACATATGTTTTCATTGAAGTTACAGATAGTATTTTTTATACTGATTATAAGTAATGTTTTCTGAATGGTTAAGTACGTCTAAATTTCCAATTCTTAAATAAAAGAGTACATATGTAATTTGTTAACTTATTGTTTAAGCCTTGAACATGTAACAGATAGTGAATTGTAATTTTGAACTCCATCGTACCTCATTCGATGTCTGGAAATGGACTGTATAAGTAAACCTAACTTTATATTATACAACTGAAAGCTTAACACACGGTCATGCACTCAGCTATTGAGTTGTGATAAGTTTATCCAACATTCTTATTTCACAAAGTCGGCAACTATTTGTTTACTTCATCGAAGTATGATGAGAAAATAAACCTTTTGATCGCGATATAGTTTTAAAAATAACATACTTAAGTTGCAGAAGGAGACAGTTAGTTATGAATAATGATTTATAATATTTTTCCCTCTGCGATATACGACGATAATAAGACTGGATGACCAAGTTTATAATACCGATAAATTGGATACTCGAACAGTTCGCAATACACAGGCTAAATTACGTCATATCGGATACACGATTCACAAATAGGAATAGAGAACCAGAGTAGCGCTAGACAATACTTTATCTGACATCCGGTGGTTCTGGAGTAGAAATTAATGAGAAGAGAAGAAATCACATATTTGATGTTCAGTAAATTGAGTGCCTGTTCGTCCAAACTCAGTGACCAATCAGATTTGCCTTCACCACCATACATTAGCTTTAAAATCTAATGTAATTGAAGAGAGTTTCTGTTTCTTTAATAGTGGTGGTTGTGATTCTGAATGAAGAACAATCTATTTCAAAGTTTTACCTAGTTATGGATCTCGAGAGTTGTAAGATTTTGTGCTAGTTATCTTTTAAATTACTACTCACAATTACAATGCGTTGACAGTATCCAATAGTGCAAACGATGTGGTCCATTAAGGTTCTTGGTACTTGTGTACTTGTGCTGTGCGGTTCCAATCGTAACGAGATTAGATGAGGTTTGTTTCTCCTTAAAACTAGTGTAAAAGTACCCAGTTTCAGTGTATTTTTGTAATCATAATGTGGGGTGGTTGTTCAGGAGTTGAGGTGTTTGTGTTTCAGCTACTGAGTTTCGGGGTTCCAATGCTGCATCTAGTTCGTTTCGATCGATCGACTGAAAGTCAAGTACACAAATCTGTGCCTGTTGGTTTACAGAAACGAATAAATCATTTAGTCATTGCATTTGAATCAGAAAAGCTTGCAATCAAGTGACTATGTAGTAATTTTTCCGACTCATTGTCGTTATACTACAAGCTGCTTGACATAATATTGACACAGATTGTCGTTTTCAAGTAACCGATATGTGCAAGAAAATGTAAGATTGTCCTTTTGAAATAGTTTCATTGGGAAAACATCATCGAAATGTTGTCAAATTTAATTTTGTTGAAATTTCATTACCTATTTCTCACATATATGTCTTATTTGTTTTCATTTCTAGGTCTTTTATTAGGTGTAGTTATTTTGCGCAATTTAAAGGTGGAAAAGTGGGAAAAAGTTTTCTTTTGGATATGTATTCTTTTCTTCGTCCTATTTTCTATAGCAGCTATCTTATTCAATGTGTTTTGTGCAAGAATTAACAAATGTCCTGCCTCTATATGGAATACCTAAAAAAGTCAGTCAGATTTTTATTATTTTTTTGACAGAGAAATCATGCATTCTTGTTCTGTGAAAACACACTTTTCCAGATTGTGAATCTAATTTTTTACTTCAACGTATATATGTAACTAATCAAAGTACTGTGTGTTTTTGTGATTGTGCCTGAGTGTGCGCCTCCTTTCGTTGGCTTCCTTTGTTAACTCTTTCTTCTTTATTGAATTATCTAAGATATGTTATTTTTGAAAACCGTTTGTACTTTTTCCGTTTTCCATTTTTATTGAATATAATGCCTTACTTGTTATTATCATTTTTGTCTGACCTCGTTGATCTCTAGTGGTCAGTATAAATTTTATCATGAAACACATACTTTGTTTCTTGTATAAAAAAAGACAAGTAAATACTTTCTGACTCATAAAAAGGAATTAACGTATTTATTCTTATCTGATCAACCTTTCACGTTCATTTCTTATACTTGGACATTTTCTTATGCTTTATTTGCATGACTTATATTAATGTGGTACATGCTGACACTAAAATACAAATTGTTATTTTCGTATATCTCATGTTCTAAAGTCTAGTCCTAGTGACTTTTGTTTATTTATATTTTTTTTAATCCATAATCATCTCTGGATATTTTGATTGGATAAACTTTTGTTTTGTTTGATTGTAATCGATTTATTAGTATTATTTGGTTGTGTATCAGACAATCTAAACTAGGTAGATATAATATCATTATCTTTTGTTTTGTAATGTATCAGTGTAGCATACATACATAGAGGAATTTTTACTTTTTGTGTATAAATGTAAGGGTTCATGAAGCGTCAGTAATGAGTATTTATTTTTTAGAGAGAAAAATAAACGAAAAACCGGACAATTTAAATAAATAATAAAAAGTAATTAAGTGAGATTACTTATTTTTAGTTAAGACTTTTGTTTATATGGTTTTTTTCAACTGCTTTGTTCACAATTTATATGACTAAGATTGATCAATATTTTGTTCCTCTTGCATAAATTGTGAAGGTATTCTTTTTTAAATATACAAATATATGTATTTGTATGCGTTGCGCAATTAGAAACTTTATATTATTATTGTTTGCTAGTGTATACTTTCTAAAATATATTTGTGTACTTAATAAATTGTTCTTTTTTATACATTCATATATTTAGTAACTACTAGATATGAAGATTAATAATTTGGATGATTTGACATTTCATTATTTGAACTCATTTAACAAATAGATCGATGATCGTATGATGATTAGTTGTTCATGCGCTTTAAATGGTTAATTCTTATTTTTATTCAAAAGAAGTTTATTACTTGAAGTCAATTATAATTCGATTTAGTACTTAAGTACAATTTTGCCAACTAGTCTGAGTTAGGTTTTAATATAACAAAAAAAAACATAAATGCTTGATATTGCTGGGGCCAGTGTGATCAAGCAATAATTGAGAAGGTAGCTGTTGTAATTATCAAATTCCAGAATTTTAACGCGTATTGGTCTTCGAGCTGCTTTTAACCTAGTGTCCAATCAAAGACAAATTAGTTCTTTATTAGACTCTATTCAGTCATGGCTCAAAACTCACTATAGTGTAGCCAAAGTATATGACCACATCAAAGCAATTAAGGGATTATAATGTGTACATAACCTAATCGTAAGTGATATGAAATATGATTACTAAAATAATTAATGTGAAATATGGAAAAAAAGCAACAGTTACTTATGAGTCGATGGGGAAGTTGGGAAAAGGTGAATGAAGAAGTCTCAGCAAAGGAAATTTCCTTTCCGATGATATCATTTTCTGAAGCTGTACAACTTTTCTATGTAGCAATCGATAGTAAAATTATCAAAGGTAGTTAAACTTACTAATGTGTAGACCAATGAAAGTGAAATGGTGGTCCCAAAAAACGGAGTTAAAGCCTTTACAGAATCCCTTGAGAAATGTGACTACAACTACTTTGGTGCACAATTATCCACGTTCCAAATGCATGCACTGTCACTCTATTCGAAATTTTCTGATACTTTCTGAGAAATTGATGAACTTTACACAAAACTAGTTCTAAAACCTCATTAAACAAACATCTAACTTAAATCTAGTTTTCAACAGTCATTTTGAGCAACTCGAATCAACTATAACTATCATCATGAGTACATCAGTTTAGATACTATCATAAATCTGAATAAAACGATCTTTTAAAGAATAAGGATTTATTATTGCTCCGTTCAGGTGAAGTTTCTGGAATTTTTCTTATGGACTGAAGGGACCATATTGATAAATTATTCTCAACATTTAATAATGAGGAAAAGTTTTCTAAAGAACCAAGTGTAACTAAAGCTAACCATAATGCTGAAAAAGATAAAAGTGGATTAATAATCGACGATGACTTATTCTAACGTTTAAAGCCATCGGGTTTTTCTATCCCATTGTTGTATGAGCTCCCGAAGCTACACGAGGGACATCTCTTTCTTCGTCAGATAATGGATATAAATAATCGCCCATACCACGCGATTGCCAAATGGCTAGTGGAAATTTTACTGTGGTGTGACCTACATATAACCACATAAGTAGTATATGGCGATAGTCGGGCATAGAATGTATTTAGAAGATAGAGAAGGAAACAACGGAAACGGGAAGCAATCGCTATGAAGATAAATGAACAATAAAATCTGAGAAGATCGATAGCTGCGATGCCACGTCCCGCAACAAACTACTTAAAAGCAATTTTGTGCGCAGAGTCCACTACAGTATCTGAACATGTTAGAATAGCTAAGCGAGACTGATGAAATTCAGTCTCAAACTTTACAAAAGGAAAATTACGGAAATATAGTCAGGATGCTTCAATTATACAATAATCAGCGCTATTAACATATACTTAAAAAAGAAGACGAATTATGATGTTCATTAAACAACTTTCCTAGTAGAGCCATTGTATGTGATTAAGTGAGCTTACCCTAAAACCCGTTGACACGGAACTGAAACAAGCGAGAATAGAAGGGAAATGAAATAAGCCTTTAATTCGGCGTAAACCAGTCAACTTAATCACAGAAATAAACAGTCGCCGGAAGACTAGAATCTTCGTATTGAGCTTGTTTCTGTGCCTAGTGTAATTCATTCTTGCGTTAGATATTAAATGTAACTGAATTGTGAACATTACATTGAGAACACTCTTCATAGGAAAGAATGTTTACGGATTTAATAATGACCTTTATAGTTTGTTAGAAAGAAACTCAGAAACAACAGAGCACAAGGCAATAAACTTAAATATCTAATTTAACTTATATATAGACGCCCAACTTCGAAACCAACTGGCTGGATTTCGTAAGAATTGATTGTGTACAGACCAAATCGTAACACTACGGATCATTGTGGAACAATCAATTGAATGGAATTCATCAATCTACATCAACTTCATCGACTACGAAAAAGTATTTGATAGAGTGGACAGAACAACACTATGGAAGCTTCTTCGACAACACGGCGTGCTTCAAAAGATAGTCAATATCGTACGGAATTCCTATGATGGATTTAACTGAAAAATCGTGCATGGAGGACAGCTTACAGACTCGTTCGATGTAAAGACTGGTGTCATCTAAGGTTGCTTAGTCCCACCATTTCTCTTTCTCCTGGTGACCGACTGGGTCATGAAGACGTCAGCGTCTGAGGGGAAGCATGGAATACAGTGAACAGCTAGAATGCAGCTGGACGATCTAGACTCTGTACACGCAACATTAAATGCAAGAGAAGACGACCAGTGTAGCAGAAGCAGTAGGCCTTAACATACAGACGGGAAAAAGCAAGATTCTCCGATACAACACAGCATGCACCAATCCAATCACACTTGACGGATAAGCTTTATAAGATCTAAAAGCCTTTACACATTTGGGCAGTATCATTGATGAACATGGTGGATCTGATGCAGATATGAAGGCGCGGATCGACAAAGGAAGGACAGCATATTTACAACTGAAGAACATCTGGAACTCAAAACAACTGTCAAACAACACCAAGGTCAGAATTTTCAACACAAATGTCAAAACAGTTTCACTGTATGAGGAGGGAACCTGGAGAACTATGAAAGCCATCATCCAGAAGATACAAGTGTTTAATAACAGTTATCTACGCAAAATACTTCAGATCCGTTGACCAGACACTATTAGCAACAATCAACTGTGGGAGGGAACATTCAGATCCTAGCGGAGGAAGAAATCAGGAACAAGCGCCGGAAGTGGATGGGACGCATGTGAAGGAAAGCACCCGACTGCGTCACAAGACAAGCCCTCACATGGAATCCTGAAGGCCAAAGGAGGAGAGGAAGACCAAAGAACACATTACGCCGAGAAACGGAGACAGACATGAGGAAAATGAATAAGAATTGAATGGAACTAGAAAGAAAAGCGCAGAATAGAGTGGATCGGAGAATGCTGGTCGGAGGCTTATGTTACATTTGAAGTAACAGGCGTTAGTAAAAAGTAAGTATTATATATATATATATATATATATATATATATATATATATATATATATATATATATATATATATATATATATATATATATATATATATTGCGTTATTTCGAGGATTATTAGTTCGTATAATAATTCGAATACTTCTGATCATCACAGTTTACTTTAGCACAACTCAGTAAATTTCTTAAGGCATTTGGTGGTCTTTTTATATTTGAACATGACTTTTTTTGTAAAATGATATTACTGAAAATGAAAGAGAATCGGGTCGATGTTTCTTGCTCAGAACCACACCTTCAAAGTCTGAAACCTTCGAAATTCACTATGAGGACAATGGTTTGTATTGTCAAAATCTAACTAACCACAATTACAACAGTTTAGTTCTCAACTGACTCACTATTTCACTGGTCAATAATTCAGAGTCAGATCCTTTAAACAAAATTTTCAACTTTTGGAATTGTCAAGAAAAGTGCTCGATATTGGAGCATATTCACTTACAAATAACTCAAAGTTTCACAGATTTTCCTTTAGTTCATACCTGACCTATTTTAACATAAATGATGGATTTTAAAATAGTCCAGCTAAAGGCACGGTTTAAACGTTAGGTCCTTTTGAAATGTGCCCGCCCTTTCGTTTCAACGACCTTGAACGGCTTGATTAGAGGCGGTCATTCCGTATTTCAATTGCCGTGAGTTGGTTGGTTTGCATGAGTATCAAGTTTTTTCATATATAAGTCATCCTATGCTACATAAAAAGCACGAAATAAATAGCAAAACCATTAATTTAGCGTTCTCTGTTTTGTAGTGTGCACTTTGGCTCTGTTGTTGCTTTGTAATTTGATCTTTGATCCCAACAATTGTAGTAAAGCTAAACGAAATGTCAAGTCACAGGTAAATCTCAAGTATTTGTAGTATTTCCTTGGGTTATTATTGTTGCAAGGAATAACTGTTTAATAATTAGTAATGTCTGTTTTTAGTGCTTCATCCTCAAGTGACATTTCAGTCGACTTAACCGATGCCTTTCGAAGTATGATACTGAACAAGCGTTTCGTGTTGTGGGATGATTTTGAAAGCGCCTTAAAAGAGTTCCAAAAAGTATGGAACTATAATTTTATCGCTTCTCAGACTACTTATACTCGTTACATCCACACAGAAGGCAGATTGCTGAAGGATGTCAGGTTCAAATACCTGTTTGTATCGTTTAATTGTACGTTTGGTCACAAACGGAAATCGGAAGGTTTGAAAGTGAGGCAAAAATCGTAAGATCTTTAACTAATATCTTATGTTTAAGGTCTAAATTCCGTAATTGTCAATCTAAATTCCGTGTAAGACTAGAAGAGCAAGGATATGTAATCAAATCCTACAAGATGATACACAATCATCCATGTAGTAGTTCATGGATGGTATGTGATCCATGGACAAGGAGATTATCGTCAGAAGAAAAAGAGAACTTGAAGCCCGTAATACTTCACTGTGAGTCAGCAGACGAAGTTATCGAAAGTAAAAGAAGAAATCTTACAGGTAAGCTATATCAATTATGAAATACTAACTGCATAGCTCATCAACTTCTTAGGTATTGTAGCAGATGGATTAAGTGACAGGGTGATGGAAAAATGCGTAACTAAATTTTAAAAGTGAAATAAATTATTACATAATCCTTCTTATTAC